TCCTCTCCCTGACTCGGAGCCCGGGCCTGCCCCTGGAGGTGCCAGCGGAGAGCACAGGGCAGCAGTCCGGACACACGCCCACCTCCAGGAGAGAGCAGTCAAGTGGGGACAGAACTGGCGGGTCACAGAACCAGCCCGTCCAACACTCCATCCTACAGATGGGAAAACTAAGGCCCAGGGAGACAGGAGCGTCTCCCGCTGCCAGAGAGCAAGTAAGAGCGTGAGCGGGACTGCACGCCACACCCAACAACTGCAGCCTCCACAGAGCAGAGGCCGAGGGGACCTTCTGGGCAGGAACACGACTCCGTGCTCTGCTGGGCCCCCTGCACCCAGCACAGCGCAGGCGTCCAGGGAAGCTGAGGAGGCTAGAGGACACCAGAAACATGCAGGGTTCCTGGCCTCGCTCTTGGTCTTCCCGGCCCTCCACCGTGCTTCCACTGAGGTCCTACCACTGTGAGTCAGCCCGGTACCAGGCAGTGGGACAGAGACATGGCCTGAGAAAGACATGGTCATTGCTGACAGTCAGCCCAAGGGACATGCTGGAGGGTAGCAAGGGGTCTCTAAATCCAGCCTGTGAGATCAGGGAGGCCTCGTGGGGGGGAATCTCATGCAACACATTTGGAAGGGACAGCGACAGGGATAGACAGGCCAAGGGTTGTCAGCCCAGAGAACAGCGCGTGCCAAGGCCCGGAGCCATGGCAGACAGTGATATAGGGCTCACAACCTGGGGCGAGCAGGCCACAGAACCACCTGAACAAGCTGGGAGGTGAGCAGGCAGATAGCACCAGGCAGAACCCAGCATGAAACCTGGGAAGAGCTGCCCACGGTGGGGTGACAAAAATACTCCCTGTAGCCTGGGGGTGCGCGAGGCACCTGTGCATGTGTGGGTGTGTGCATGCATGCATGTGGGGACACGTACATGGGCATGTGTGTGCTACCTGTGACTGCATGTGCACATGTGCACGAGTGGGTGTGTGCAGCAATGTGTGCATGTGTGTACACATGTGTATGATATATGTATATGCACAAGGGAGGTGTGCATGCATGAATTTACACACGTGCACAAAGCATGTGAACATGACTGTATGCGCATGTGTGTGGATACTGTGCCCATAGTATATGTGTGTGCCTGAAGACACGCACGTGCAGGCGTATGGTGTGTACATATATGTGCATACCTGCTGTGGGTGCAGACACACAAATATTTGTGTGATGCTCATGTGCATGTGCATTGTGTGGGTGGATGCCTGTGTGCGAGCTCATGGGTGTGCAAGCACAGGTGTGCATGGATGTGTGCTTATGGCTGTGCATGTGCATGTGTAGGTATGTGGACATGTGTGCATGTACATGTGTATATACCTATGTGTGCAGGGAGACAAGCTGAGGCCCCTGGTGGAGCACAGAGCACCTCATCCCAGGTGTGCCCCCAGCAGGCCTGCATCCAAATGCCTCTCGCAGCAGCAGGGCCAGTACCCAGTGTCCCCTGGGTATGGCCCTGGCCGGACAACCATTTGGGGCCCCACTAGTCACAGGCGAGCTGAAGGGCAAGTATGCCTTGGCCACCCTGGGATGTTTCCCCTCTATGTGGTTTCCTTCTGAGATGTCCCACTCTCTCCCCACTGTGCCCCCAGTGCAGCCTGACTCTCCACAGCACCCTCCCGGGTATCTCTCCAGGTCTGTCTGAGCCCAGGCCTGGCCATCAGTGACTCTTGGGACGGGTGGCCTTTCCGGGCCATGCTGTTCTCCGTGTTACAGAATAACCAGGAACAGTTTGTCAGCATCTGGGGTAAAAGGCCTCCTGCTCCCTCTGGAATAACTGCAGTCTCGAGCCTCTGGTCCCCGCAGCAGGGGGCCCGAAGCCTAGCCAGGGACCATNCAGCATCTGGGGTAAAAGGCCTCCTGCTCCCTCTGGAATAACTGCAGTCTCGAGCCTCTGGTCCCCGCAGCAGGGGGCCCGAAGCCTAGCCAGGGGCCACTCTACTCCAAGAACTTCTCAGGGACTCAGCTCTCCTCTGCCCCTTGGCTCTAGGCCCTGGACCCGCAGCAGAGGCACTTCCTCTGGCTCCTCTCGGGTCATACCAGGAACAGTGCCATATCTGTGGCCTGAGGTCAAAAGGCCAGCCAGGTGTCCCTAGGTGCCTGGGTCTCTTGGCTGGCCAGGCGCTCCAGATGCCCCTGGCCTGTCCTGGCTGGGAGAGCGGCTTTCTGAGCAGTGGGAAGTCCTGTCTGCTTTGGGTCCCAGCTGCTCTGTGTCTTTTTTCCTCCAAATTCCTCATGCTCTGCTGCCCCTGCTTGTGAGCACATGAGGTGTTAAGTGGAGCCAGGACCCTGGATGTCCCTGTGCATGCCCCCAGAGTGCTCCTCACAAGGTGAGGACCCCTTATGGTCTGGAGAGGCTCCCCCCCATGACTGGCTGGGTGCTGAGAGAGGGAGAGATCACTCCAAAACCTACATCAGATGGTGGCCACGTCCCTCTTCTGGACCCTCCTCTGGCTCCCTGTGCCTCCAAGATGAAGCCCACCCTTATCTCAGGGAGTGTGTCCCCTCCCAATAACTCCCCTTCATTCTCCAAATGCAGCTCAGAGGCCACCTCCTCCAGGAAGCCTTCCTGGAAACCCCACCCCCAGGCATTGATGGCATTCACCGCACCCATCTCAGTGTGGAGCAGGCACCTCAAGGCGGGAGGCACAATACCGACCCTACTACCTGTGTGAGCGCATGCTGATGATGGAAGACGCAGGGGTGTGGGGCTTCCCTGCAAAATGCACCCCCAGGAGCTCAGGTCAGGGGTGCTTTTTAGGCCTCTGGAACAAGGAAGACCTTTCCTAAGGAGGGTGGCCCTCCACCTTCCCTGGGTCACACACCTCTCACATGCGTGGTGCATAAATGCCTAGGTTGGCACAGGAGGTTTAGCTCCTCCCGGGCAAGCCCACCACCTGCCGCGTCTGATTCCGGGCCCAGCCCTGGCCTGACTCCCTCCTCCATGTCAGGGGTTATCAAGGGTAAGGGAGCTCCACTCTGCTGAGACCACCAGCTGTCCTGTGGGGAGCTCAGGGAAGAGGGCAGCGGCCTGCACACGGGTCTAGGCATCGCTGGGCGCTGGGCGGTAGGGGCTGCTCCCATCCTCTCTGCCATGCAGAAGCATCCTACCCTCCCCCCAGCTCCAGGAAGGGCGCCCCCTGGCCCCCTTCATCTGAGGGTGCTGGGACAGCAGCTGCCAGCCTGGCTGCGGCTCTGGAAGGGGAGAGGTCCTCCTGTTGGTCCCAGCAAGCATGCCAACCTCTCTCTAAGGTGTGTCTTCCGCCGACCTCAGGCTGCCCGGAGGCAGGGACCAGCCAGCGCTGAGCTCGGCCGGGGACTGACTGCCCATCTGCAGAACCAGCGAAAACGCACGTGGGAAGGGGCAAGTCCAACAACTCGCCCTAAGCCCGCAAGAACGAGGCACCCGCGCAAAACCGCCCGTCACGTGGGCGACTCGGTTTCGGGTATTGATCAGAGGTGGTGATTTTGAACACCCCCCCCCCCCTT